GAGAAAAGTACACCAACGCTCACTGAGAGCTTGAGGGAACTGGGCGGGTGAGCGAGAGCATCAGAAAACGGCGGTTGATGCCCAGGCCAGTTGAATCAACAATGGTCTCAAAATCTTACAACGTGAGAAACAGAATCATTACAGAGAAAAACAACGCGATCTCAGAACAGTGGCAATCTCAAAGCACGCGCCTACTTCGTCTTTTATAAGAAAAAAGCGGAGACGTGGAAAATTCCCCCAGATTGGCAAACGGTCCGTCCTCACCTCACAGGCACCCAGAGCGGGCTCTTCATCGCGTGTGTTTGTTTACCCGCCCGCCCTTGGTTCTAATGTTGTACAATGCTGCTGATGAGATCAGCTCTAAAATTGAGACCAAATGCACTATTTTCCTCAAATAAAAAAATAAATAAAAATAAAGCCAGAGTCGGGTCCCAGTTGAGCTGACCTGCTCCCGATGTTTGCTGGGCCTGGGTCGGGATTTTAGTGGAGGCCCCGCTCTTGCCATCCTCATCTTGTCCACATTACGAGGGGCCTCAAACACGCCTGTGGACACCACAGCCTGCACACCCCCATCCTAGTCACACCTGGCCACTCTTCGGCCGAGGTGCAGACACATGAGTGGCCCTAGGGAGGATGCTCTAGAAGCCAGCTCCGGGACATGTGGGCAGAGAATTCTAGGGTGAGACCCGGAAAGGGAAGGGCATGGGCCCCAGGGGGCATGTCCCTTTTGCCCCACCAATTCCTTTCCCCATCTGGAGGCCACAGCTGGAGCGGGGCCCTCTAGAGCGCAGGGCGCCAGTTGGGACATGTGACCTTCAGTGTCTTTGACCTAGAGCTCAGACCTCTTTTGCCATCCCATGAGCTGCTATGGTCTCAGAAGGGAAGCCTCCCACCTCCTCCCTTCAAGGGAAAGTTCTGCAACTGGCAGGAGACTCGTGGGCCAAGACCTGCCCCTTATAACTAGGTGACGCGCACAGCGACAGAACCTTCCTGGTCCCATTCCTTCAAGTACAAAATGAAGACAATCCCCAGCCTCACCACATTGTTGGCTGGATTCAGAGGGTGTTAAAGCGCTAGGCCAATGTGAGATTTGTTTTCTTACGGGGAGCCAGGGAGGGAGATGGGGTTCCCAGTGGAAACAGCCCTGGGCCTGTGGAAATGACGGCAGAACTCCGAGTCAGTTCCAGGAATGACGCCTACCTACGGACTCCCCAAAGACTGAATAAGAAAGCGGATGCAAAAGCACCTGCCACACAGGAGGGGCTCAAACATTACTAGCAGTGGAGGTGGTGGCGGTGACCATTTCCTGAGTGACCCTGTGCCTGGCACACGCAGCATGCACTTTGCTGGATTATTCCTTTTAATGATCACAATAACCACAGAAGTAAGCTTACCCCATATTACAGATGAGAAAAGTGAGACCAAGCTCACTTAGCTGGTGAGCAGCGGGCCAGGAGTCGCACGCGGGTCTGGACACAAGAGCTCACTGTGTTCCCGTCCACATCAACTTGGCTCATCAAAAACCCATCCCCGGAAAGATGGACCTTGCTGATAAACCAACCAACCAACCCTGGAGGAGACCTGACATGAATTACCAGCACATTTTGAGGCGCTTTACAAGGAGCGTCACATCCAGGTACTTCATGGACCAGAGACTCAGGTAGCAATGCATGGTGTGGCTCAAAACAACCATCCAGAACGCTCGTGTCTATTTGGTTCCCAACAAAAATGCAAAATGAACCGTGTTTCCACAAGCTGTGTGCCACCTACACTGAGTCCATATCAAGCATTCTTGAATCCACTGGTAAATAAAACCAAAAGAATGTTTCAAGATGCTGGCACTGCCAGGCCCAAGGTGAGCAACCCTGGGCAGATCCTTTTTCTGTATTGCTGGGCTGCAGTAGACACCTCCAGGCCCCCATAGCTCGCTCGTCCCTCACCCTCAAAGTACAAAAACATTTAATTGCATCAGACAAGACCTAACCCCAACATCCTCAGAAGACCCAGGAAGCTGTCAGTGGTGAGAACTGTAAGCAATACCGGGACCTGCAGATTCATGACGTTGCCCCGGGAAGAGGCGTGCAGGGAGGGCGGGCCGCTGAGGAAGGCTCAGTGAGGGGAGGCAGCGCGGAATCTGCGCAGAGCCCTCTACTACCCTTCTCTCCGACGCCCAGTCATCTTCCTCTTTGCTGATGCTCCCCTCCCCCTCCCTCTCCTCCTCCTTCCCCCCTTTCCTTCCCCTTTCCTCCCCTCTCCCCTTCCCCTCCTTCTCCAGGAAATGACAACACCAATGTCTCAATCTCTTGAAATGGCTGTGGTTGCTGAAGTTCCAAGAGCAAGTTTGGGGCGCTGCTGCAGCCTGTCCCCCAGATCCTGCTCTTCTGGGTCATCTCACCCTTATTGCCTCGAAATGGTATCCAAACACATGAATCCCACTGAAGGGGGCAGAGAAGGGACACAAATTAAACACAAGACCTCGTCAGGGGCCTTTGGGGATAACGTGCCAATGTCCTTATAAAACGTCATTTTGCGACAACACCCCAACCTCTCCCCTATCCCCACACAGTGTGAGAATAGCCACATAATTAATACTTTTATGATTGAAAACGCAGGCAGTAGAGGGAAAGGCTTCGATATTATGAACTGTCTTTAGTAGCAGGCTTTCTGTAGGTCCTACATGGCACACTGGGGAGACAGGTTTTCTTTGTGTAGAAGGGGCATGGTGGGAACTGACCCCCAACTGAATCCTCAAAAATAAAAGGTAAGCTGCATATCAGCCAACCCTTGGGGGACCCCCGCTGACTCTAGAATATGCTTCAGCAGCAGCTATGGTTGTGGAGAAGGCCAAGAACAGGAGCAGCTACTCAGAGAGTGAGGTGGACCACACCCGCCAGCCTCTCGATAACGTCCGAGGACCCCATGTTAGAATGGAAGCAAAGAGCTTTCCTTTCTGCCGTTTACTCACTCACACCTTTTAACCCAGCCTGGACTGACCCCGTTCCCCTTCCAGAAAGCTTAAGCCAAGCCAGGCAAAAGGCAGTAATAAGCCAGCAGTTTCTGACTCAACTGGTTCTCTGTTCTTTGGAGACACCCCAAGATTCCCCCAAAACAGTGATGGCTCAATATTTCCCAACCAAACAGGCAGCTTCCAGGAAATGATCAGATGCGCCTACAAATGTACATGGAAAAATACCATGTTCCCCTCTCCCCAGCACCATTTCATCTCTAAGTTTTTTCTAAACCACCAGGCCAGGCACCTCTCCCTGGCCCACCTCCACCCTCCTTCGAGTCTCATGCACGCACCCCCAAGTAATGAAAAGGCACCTTGAAGCCTCCATCCCAGAAAACATCCCAACTGATGCACACATGATTCACACCGAAAGTGTTTTTTATTTAAGAGCCTGTAGTGCTGAAGCTCCGGAATTTGGAAGGTCGTTGTCGGCAGCCGCTTCTGCCAGGCCCAGCGGTGAGCCCCTGGCAGCCGGAGCCCTGGAGCCTGGTGTTTATGCATAAGGCAGAAAATTCCAGCATTTCCGTCGATGATCCAGCTGCGGTCATCAGAAAGGCAAGCGCCAGCGGCAGTTCCAGTTCGAAGGTTCAGAGGGTGCACAGCTGCTGGGTGGCCGGTCCGTTCAGCCACCGCTCTGGCCCTCGAGTATGCTGTGGAGGGGAGAGATAAGGCAGGCCACCCCTCCGACAACCAGGGCGGAGAAACCGAGAAGGAAAGTCAATAAAGTAAGTGAAATCAAGGGAGCGAGGGGCGACATGTGCGCTCCACACTGTGCTCTTCTCAGAGTGGTCTGGCCAAGCGTCCTCTCCTTCCTGCAGAGGCCAGCGTGCCTTCCTAACAGGCCAGGGCCGCAGAGCACTTGTGCCAGCGGGGCCTCGGGAACCAGGGGACCCTGCAGCACGGGCAGCCCCTTCTCAGGAAACTGAAGAATCTGAAACCAGGGCTGAGTGGGGAAAGGCTAGGGTTTTCATTCAAAGCAATGGAGCAGACAGTAAACAGGCAAACACACAAACCCTGCAGAATGCTAGAAAAGAAAAGAGGGGATAAAAAAAAACAAAACACCTTTCCAGAGAGAGCAGGCCCAGGACCCCAAGGGCACTGCTAGTAGACTTTAGCAGAAGCATTTTAGTTGCAGCAAATAACCGCAAACCCCAGGGAAACAGAAAAACGAGGCCTCGATCAACCTGAGAAGTCAGCCCAAGGCCCTGCTCCCGGGAGCCACCAGATGTCCTGCACACAAGCTCTGAGATCAGCCACCGCCCAACCCCTCTCCTACCCCTGTGGGAGGGGCCTCCTGCAGTAACCTCCTGCGTCCAGGTGGGCTTCTAGTCCAGCCCAGCCTAGACCAACATCAAATACAGTCCCTGACGGCGTGCTGTTACAGCCAACCAAATCGCCATCCATTTACATTACCACAGTGATGGTTTCAAATTACATTTCTAAGACCAACAACGTAGAACTGTGACAGAGCAGAGAAACACACAAAGGACGTTACTAAGCAAAGCCTGCCTCGTGCTTTCTTTTCCCTTCAGAGGAGAAATTATTTCAGATGTACATACACACACACACATGCACACACTCGTCCACGCACACACACATGCACACACACACACAGGTATACGTTTTTCCCTGATATTCAAAATTCTTTGTGAACTAGCCACGCCTGATTCTGCTGAACCCTTAAAAAAAAAGAGGCAGGGAGGGGGCCGGCCCAGTGGCACAGTAGTTAAGTTCACGCACTCCGCTTCAGGGGCCCAGGGTTCAATGGTTCGGATCCGGGGCGAGGACCTATACACTGCTCTTTAAGCCATGCTATGGCCGTGACCCATACACAAAATAAAGGAAGACTGGCACAGATGTTAGCTCAGTGACAATCTTCCTCAAGCAAAAAGAGGAAGATTGGCAACAGATGTTAGCTCAGGGCCAATCTTCCTCAGCAAAAAAAAAGAGAGAGAGAGAGAAGGAGCCACAAACATGTGTATACTTCTGCTAAGGGCTGAGCAGCTCTGAGCCCTTTCACTTTGAACTTTCACACAACCATCACCAACCCAAGACCAGAACTTGACCAAGCCCAAAAGACCACCCAACAGTCAGACATCTAGAACGTCACAGATCCAAGAAAGCAGAATGTCAGAAATTCTCAATATACAGCTGAATATCCTTCGGGCTTTTTTTCAGTTCTTGATAACTTCTGATCTCTTTTACTTTTGTCAATAGTTGCTTTAAATTATTATTTTTAAAATCAACATGTTTCCACCCTTTGCCCCTTAGCAAGGCAAAGCCCTCTTGAGGAGAGAGAAAGGGTGACATGTTAAAGGGGCGTCCAGAGGGTGGTCGAGGTGACTCTCCTGTGGTGACACTCTGAGCGGACGTTCGACACACACAACTGTGCCAGAGTTTCATAAATAACATTTGTTTTGGTTTCAACACCTCGGACGAGATAGCTTCCAGATCCTTCACACCCCAGCCTTCAGCTGACAGACCTTCCACAGGATGCCAATACACTGGAAAACAGGTTTTACCTAAAAGGAAAGGAAGAACAAGTCAGTGTCCTCCAGCAGAGCCCCAAACCCACTGTGGCCCCTCACTAACAGTCTCCATTATTCAGGCCACGCTGTCACACAGCATGGCAGCTGAGCTCCCTCTCCGTGCCTCTCATGCAGTGCCTCCCGCTCTCAATGCTCATCTCTATTCCTGCCACACAAGCCATCTTTTCAGTCCTCGAAAACTCCACACTCCTCAATCACAGGACCTTTGGACGTGCTGTCTGGAAGACACATTCCACTCCCTCAGGTAACTTTTTCTCTTCCCTCAGCTCCCAGCTCAGGATCCTTTCCTAACTCCCCACACAAACGTCTGGTACACAACCTCTTTTCTCCTTGTATCTCTCCTTCCTAGCACTTTTTTACTCCAGGGCTTGGCAAACTTTTCCTGTATAAGTCCAGAGAGTAAATAGTTTTGACTTTGCGGGTCCTATAGTTTCTGTGGCAACTACTCAACGCTGCCACTGGACATGCTTGGTGTGCCTACATTCCAGTAAAACTTCATTTGTGGACACTGAGATTTGAATTGCATCTAGTTTTTACATGTCATGAAATATTCTTCTTTTGATTCTTTTTCAGCCATCAAAAAAGTAAAATGGGGCAACAAAAGACTCCGAATAGCTAAAGCAATCCTGAGAAAAAAGAACAAAGCAGGAGGCATCACAATCCTTGACTTCAAAACATACTACAAAGCAATAGTAATCAAAACAGCATGGTACTGGTACAAAAACAGACACACAGATCAATGGAACAGAACTGAAACCCCAGAAATAAAACCTCACATCTACGGGCAGCTAATCTTTGCGAAAAAAGCAAAGAACATACAATGGCAAAAGGAAAGTCTCTTCAATAAATGGTGCTGGGAAAACTGGACAGCCACAGGCAAAAGAATGAAAGTGGACCATCTGCTTTCATCGTACACAAAAATTAACTCAAAATGGATCAAAGACCTGAAGGTGAGACCTGAAACTATAAAACTCCTGGAAATGTAGGCAGTACACTATTCGTCATTGGTCATAAACGGATCTTCTCGAATTCCATGTCTAACTTGGACAAGGGAAACTAAAGAAAAACAAGTGGGACTTCATCAGACTAAAGAGCTTCTGCAAGGCAAATGAAACCAGGATCAAAATGAAAAGACAATCCACCAGCTGGGAGAAAATATTTGCAAACCATATATCCGACAAGGGGTTAATCTCCATAATATATAAAGAACTCACATATCTGAACAACAAAACAACAAATAACCCGATCAAAAAACGGGCAGAGGAAATGAACAGACATTTTTCCAAGGAAGATATACAGATAGCCAATAGGCACATGAAAAGATGTCCAATATCACTAATCATCAGGGAAATGCAAATCAAAACTACACTAAGATATCACCTTACACCTGTGAGAATGGCTATAATCACTGAGACAAAAAATAACAAATGTTGGAGAGGATGTGGAGAAAAGGGAACCCTCATTCACTGCTGGTGGGACCACAACCTGGTGCAGCCTCTATGGAAACAGTATGGAGAGTCCTCAAAAAATTAAAAATAGAACTACCTTATGATCCAGGTATCCCACTTCTGGCTATTTATCCAAAGAACTTGAAATCAACAATCCAAAGAGGCTTATGCACCCCTATATTCATTGCAGCATTATTCATCACAGCCAAGACATGGAAGCATCCCATGTCCATCAACAGATGATTGGATGAAGAAGATGTGGTATATATATATACAATGGAATACTACTCAGCCATAAAAAAAGACAAAATCGTCCCATTTGCAACAACATGGATGGACCTGGAGGGTATTATGCTAAGCGAAATAAGCCAGACAGGGAAAGACAAACAGTGCATGACCTCTCTCACATGTGGAATATAAACTAACACACAAAGAGAGAGAACAGTTTGGTGGTTACCAGGGGGAAAGGGGTTGGGGGGTGGGCACAAGGGGTGAAGGGGCGCATTTATATGGTGACTGACGAATAATAATGTACAACCGGAATCTCACAATGTTATAAACTTTTATGACATCAATTTAAAAAAATGTAAAAATCATTTTTGGTCCGTGAGCCACACAAAAACAGGGAGTGGGCCAGACTTGGCCCCCCGGCCGTAGTTCACTGACCCTTGACTCACATAACCTGGTTTATGGTTATGACCCCAGGTTGACGTCATTATCTGACCCATGTCTGTCTCTTGCTTAGACTGGGAGCTCCCTGCAAGCAAGACCCTCGTCTGAGCTTGCTCCCCTTTAAACCCCAGCACCAAGCACGGTATCAGACAATGTAAGGGTGCAAGAAATATTTGTGCAATGAGTGAAAGAAAATTTAAAAACTAAAGCTACTCAAGACATCATTCAAAGGGACTTAGAAAAAGAGGGAAAATCTGAGAGGTCACCATCATCTATTCATGTTTGATCGTGGGTATTATATAATCATACATGTAAAAACAGTGGGGATTTAACAGAATTTATAAAATAATGAACTTGTTTTCCTAATGTTATAGGATCCCAAATATAAATATAAATATCAGGTAACTATTTACTAAAAGACATGGACATTGTTTTTTTAGGAAATACACACTTAAGTATTTGCAGGAAAGCGACATGACATATGTAACTTATCCACAAATGGTTCAGAGAAAAAAAAATCTGTATGCACACACCCAGAGCCATCATAAGGCAAATGAAGCAAAATGTTAAAATGGGAAATTCCGGGAAAGGGTACAGGGTGTTCCCCATACTATTTTTGCTTTTGCAACTTTTTTAAGTTTGAAATTATTTCCAAATAAAAACTTTTTTAAAGAAAACAACAGATATGGGTAACCTCATACTGGCCACTAGGGTCCCCTACTCAACAGACTAGAGGAAGAAAAATATAAATCCCATAGCCATGTCCAAGCTGTGCGGCTGGCTTTTTTAGAGCCCTCTGCTCTGGGTTGGGGAGTGGGGGGCAAGCCTGCACTGACTGACATCCACAGAGCCCAGCCACTCAGCCCCACTCTACAAATGTAACCTGGGGACCTCAAACGTTAAGACTCGCACCAGGCCTGACTCCACGGTCAGGCCTTCCACGGCCTCCCGCGGCAGGTTCACTGCTGAGGATGAGGGGCGGAGCCTGGGGACAGAGTGGAGAAGGTTTCAAAGAGGAAACCAAGAATCAGACCACAGAGAAGGGACCCTATTCCCCATAACTACACCAGAGCAGACGTGCACATGAAAAAAAGCAGACTACAGCCAGCCTGCTGAGCCTGGAAAGAGCAGACCGTCAGAATTCACAGAGACGTAAACTTCATATACCACCAACGTGCTGAGAATTCACCTTCCCGGGTGTCCCAATATTGGCCGTTCTGGTGACACCGCATCTTACGGACTCCCCGAGAGCACACCCAGGGATCCTCTGCAGGTTCCCTGCTGCACCCCATCCCTCGTGCGCAGCTATTCACACCCGTGCGCTTACAGGAATAAACACCCACACGTATACATACACAGAGGGCAGGGGGAAACGGAGCAGAAGGAGGGGTGCCACCCCCAACCATCAAGCACAATCATCAGGTCTCTTCCTCAGCAGAACTAAGCCTCCAGGGCTGCTACGGGAAGAAAGAAAACAACAGATCTTTTGAGCACCTCCACGGGGGAGCGGTGGCTCTGGGCACCTGCGAACGCCCACGGAGGTCACCAGCTTGGCCTCTCCAGAAAGAGGTGAGCCCATCTCAAGTCTGAGTGGTGTAGCTGGTGGGCCCTTCAGACTTTCTGGTGCGCCTGTGACTCAGGATGCTCCAGGGACCATGGACGTGGGGACCGGGGTGAGGAGGCTGGCTGTACAGTCCCAAAGTCCCAGCTCTCTTCACTTCATCTCCCTGTTTCCCTGAGGCCGTGCAGCTCTGAGGTTCTCCCCTGAGGAGGGCCTGGGGGGCTGGGGCTCACAGCCACGGCTCACCTTTTCATCCCTGCGCTTGCTGGAACTTGCACCTGTTGCACATGCTGGTACTTCTGGAATGCCCTCACTCCACCCTGCCCCTAATCCACTTTGGGCTCACTTCCTGGTCCTTCCAAACCCACCACAAGCTTCACCTCCTACGGGGAGAGCTTCCTGCCCGAGAGGTGCCCCTCCTGGCTAACCACAGCACCTGTGCTTTCCTCCCTGGGATTACAGGTCATCTCATAAGCATCAGCATCCTGGCTGTCTCCTCGTCTCAGCGCCAGCTCCTGGAGGGCAGGGCCAGGCTGCTCATCCTGCACTCACAGACAGCAGAATTAGCAGGCTCATGAGCTAGACACATGTAGGGGTGACAGCAGAGATTTCAAGAGGCTCTCCTGGCCCTTTTCTCTCCCCCAGAACAGCCAAACTGCTAACGACATTCCGGTTTCATCATTCAGTGAAACCAGAAGAACATCAACGCTGACCCTGCCCCTCCCCCAGAGACACCGTGAGAAGTGAAGACAGTTCAGGTGCTGTCACCCAGGCTCACCTCTTTCAGATTTCCAGGTGTTCTGCTACAACCATCCAGAGAAGGAGACAGCCAGGTCCCAACCGGTCCCTGTCCCGTGTTTTACAAGAACCTTGTCTGTCGGCACAAAAAGCCCTCAGCACGGGAGCGCCTGTCTCAGCACCTGTTGCCACACCTGTTCAGGCCCCCGGCAGCCGACCTCCCCATGCAGCAGGCAAGGACACCTCTAGAAGAGGGCACAGTGACCACGGGACAAATGACGGAGAAGCCGAGGGAGGAAGCCAGGCCACGTCGGTGAGTGTGCCTGAGACAGACAAACGTGAGGACCACACCACCACATGCCAGGGGCCTCAGCAGTCCTACCACTTTCATCCCAGGACACCAAACACGGAAAAGAACAACTGAAAAACGTGGCTCGTTTTTCCAATAGCATGGCCAGTTAGGACTATTTGTGCTGTTTTCCTTTTTTATTTTTTTCTTTTGCCTGATTCTTACACAGCACTATAAATTGCGTGTGTATGTAGTCAGGAAACTG